GTGTCTGACAGTGTTCTCTGCTATTCATAAGGTTTTCAGTGACTAAATATCCGGAAGCAGTTCGTCACTCCTTCTTCCTAGTCTGTTTTTGTCTGGAAGCTCATCTGAAACCTGTCCACAATGGGTGACCCTGCTGGTATTTAAAATACTGGTGACATAGCTTCCAGAATCACAGCAACTCACAAGCTACCACAGTATGACAAACTGACAGATGAGTGGTGGCCGTGTAGTGCAGTGGGTGACAGATGGCCACAAGATGGTCATAATCCATCAATGCCAAGAGAATATTGTCCAATGTCCCAAAAAGCATGAAAAAATACATCTGTATGATGCAATCTTTAAATGTAGTAACTTTGTTCTGCGTCTGAATGTTCAGCAGCATCTTTGGGACAGTGGTAGAAGACTAATACACAATCACCACACAAATCACCACAGTAACACAAAAGTCATCACAGTATGACAAAATGACTGACAAGTGGGGTCAATAACACTTGGCATGAAATAATTGGTCAAAAATATTTTTTTGAATGAACTAAAGAAAATCTCATGGAACCCAACAACCACTCCTTGGGAACCTTATACTATGAGACAGAACTTATTCAATGACACTTAACAACAACAACAGCAATGTTGCTTTAGCAAAATCTTTGGGGTTAGAGGTAAGGAAGGCTAGTTAGTTTCAGCATCAAGTAGAAGACTGAGCATTTAGGATCACGTGAAATTTTCAGTTAAAGATCATTAGATCTGTAGATTTCACATAGGAATTAGTTGCGTGTTTAAAATATAACAACAGCATGCCTGTCAAATTATTGTTAATTTTTTGTGGCTAAATTTGCATCACTCTATTCCCCTTTCCAGTAGTTTCATCATATACATGGAACCAGAAAACCAAACACATATTTCAGAATTCATCCTTTTGGGGCTCTCAGAAGAATCAGAGCTGCAGCCCCTCCTCTTTGGACTGTTCCTGTTCATGTACCTGGTCACCTTAACTGGGAACTTGCTCATCATCCTGGCCATCATCATGGACTCCCACCTACACACACCCATGTACTTCTTTCTCTCCAACCTCTCTTTTGTGGACATTTGTTTCACCTCCACCACTGTGCCAAAGATGCTGCTGAACATTCAGATGCAGAACAAAGTTATTACATTTAAAGATTGCATCACACAGATGTATTTTTTCATGCTTTTTGGAATATTGGACAATATTCTCTTGACAGTGATGGCTTATGACCGGTTTGTGGCCATCTGTCACCCACTGCACTACACGGTCATAATGAACCCAAACTTCTGTGGCTTCCTGCTTTTGGCATCCTTGTTACTGTGTGCTCTGGACTCTCTATTACTTAGCTTAATGGTTTTACGACTGTCTTTTTGTACAGAATTGGAAATCTCCCACTTTTTCTGTGAAATTAATCAGGTACTCCAACTTGCTTGTTCTGACACTTTCCTCAATGACTTAGTCATGTATTTTGCAACTGGACTTCTTGGTGTTATTCCACTTACTGGGATCCTTTTCTCTTACAGTAAGATTGTGTCCTCCATTTTAAAAATTTCATCAGCTGAGGGCAAGTATAAAGCTTTTTCCACTTGTGGGTCTCATCTGTCAGTCATTTCCTTGTTCTATGGTACAAGTCTTGGAGTTTATCTTAGTTCTGCTACTACCCAAAACTCCAGGGTCACTGCAATAACCTCGGTGATGTACACTGTGGTCACACCCATGCTGAACCCCTTTATCTACAGTCTTAGAAATAAGGACATAAAGCAGGGCCTAAGAAAACTGTTCAACTGAGGAACATTATCTACATAATGGAATGATTTTTCTCAAGACTAGCAAGACTCATGAGCAAAAGAGCTCAAAATAATGAAGATCTAAATCACATTTACATCAGCTCACAAGACTGCATTATTTCCAGAATTCAACTTCCTTTATTTTTGTATATTAGTAACAATTGTTTCTTGTGTATTTCTTTAAAAAAACTTTTTAACTCAAATCTCCCCTTCAACAGGCAATTAATTCCTTTATGTTGACTGCAGATGATTCAGTATGAAACAGATCTTCCACTGTAAACGAGGAATACCAACATACAAATGTCCCATTGGAACAGCATCGTTATTGTCCTCAAACCCCAAAAGTTGAGATATCCATTTCCAGTTTCTTATTTTGGAGTCTGTTTCTTCTGATCAGTTCTGACATGTAATAGTTGACCTCTTTGGGTTACTGTCTTTAAACAGAAGATTGTTACGTATTTTGAGCACACACTTTGTAAACATGTACTTATTAAATTGTGAAATAAACTGGTGGCATGTCTTTCAAATATTGGGAATGACTCCCAAAACAGCGGTGAAAATCAGACCAGCTAAGAGAGTTGACACCTCTTTTATCATCAGGAAGGTGGTGGAATAATGAAGACTCCATGATATTTTTGGCTCCATGAACATGACACATTTTCTGTGCTTCAGATAGCAGGAATGCTTTGCTACAACTGTTAGTTCAAGACTCACTGTATTTGCTAAATCTGCAATTGTTTAGCAAAGGGTGGGTAATTGCTTCTTGATAACACTGGTGGTGTTGTTAAGTGCTGTCAAGTTGGTTCTGACCCATAGTGACCCTATATAGGGTTTCTGAGAAGCGACTGGTGAGTTTGAATCACTGATCTTGTGGTTCAAACCGACTTTGCAGTTGGTTTAACCCACAACACCACTACTGACCTGGAAATTTGTCTTCACTTATTCTAAGTAACCTGATGCTCTCCAGTGATTCTTGGCCACAAAATTGGCTAGAACAAAACATCTGATACACTTTTGCCCTCTGATTCTCTCCTGTACATTAGCCAACATCTCAGTTATAACATAAGACGCTCCTGGTTTTATGTTGTTGTTGTCAGGTGCCATCGAGTCAGAACCGACTCATAATGACGCCATGTGCAGCAGAATGAAACAATGTCCGATCCAGGGCCAACCTCACTACCGCTGCCACACTCGATGCCATCAATGATGCCACCTGGCCGATCCATCTCGTTGGGGGTCTTCCTCTTTTTCTCTGACCCTCCATCTTACCCAGCATGACATCCTTTTCCAGTGACTGTTCCCTCCTGACAATATGTCCAAAGTATGAGAGACGAAGCTTAGCCATCCTGGCCTCCAAGGAGCACTCTGGCTGCACTTCTTCCAAAACAGATCTATTGGTTCTTTTGGCAGTCCATGGCACTTTTAGTATTCTCCTCCAACACCACAACTCAAAGGCATCAATTCTTCTACGATCTTCCTTATTCACCTTCTATATGAGGTTATTGAAAATACCATGGCTTGGGTCAGGCGTACCTTAGTCCTCAAGGTGACATCTTTGCTCTTCAACACTTTAAAAAGTTCCTGTGCAGCAGAGTTGACTAATTCAATATGTCGTCTGATCTCTTGACTGCTGGTTTTATAGTTCCTAGGAAATATAGCTTCCTAATTACCATTCTCTGTAGTACAATAAAACAAACCAATGGAAAGAGAAATGGATGCTGGGTGCCAGCCCACTCTATCTCTCTAGTGATAAGATGCAGATTCAATCCAAACTCCTAATGCTGTTGAGTTGATTCCAACTCACAGTATCCCTATAGGACAGAGTAGAACTACCCCATAGGGTTTCCAAAACTAAACCTTTTACAGATGCAGACAGCCAAATCCTTCTCTTGTGGACTGGGGAGTGGGTTTGAACTGCTAACGTTTGATTAGCAATCTAGTGCTTTAAATGCTGCTCCACCAGGTGGATGCCAAACTGTCTTATACTTTGAGTATATTTTGTTGTTGTTGTTAGGACAGGGTAATTGTATTTCTTTCAAAGTTTACTAAGTCTTTTTCCTATTTCCATTCTAATATATAGTTTAATCATAATTTAGTTAGAAAGGATGACGTACTGAGCATGAAATAAGTGAATGATAGAGACTCTTGTAACTGACATATATTCTTAAAATTAAAAAAAATATATATTTAATATCTTTAATTTTGCAAAGATTTCATTCACATCACCTAGAGAACATTTCACCCACTGGTCTGCTTGGCAGCCAGTCTCTTGTCTTTCTTTTCAGCAGTCGTAAGGCAGATGGATACCTTTTCCTTGGTGAAGAGAAATCCATGGTTTGTTGCCTTTGCCAAAAACGAAAACGTTAGAAATTCGAGTGGCAAAGCTGTTTTCATTGGCATCTTTCACATGAACCACATCAAAAGAGCCAGGATGTCTCTATCTGTTAATGAGCACAATAATTTTACCCAGGTTGGCACCTCCAGTCACCATACACAGGTTTTCAGTGTCAAACTTGATGAAATCCATCTTTTCAGTCTCCAAATCAATCTGAATGGTATCATTCACCTTGATGAGAGGATCAGGGTAGCGTATGGTATGAACATCATGGGTCACCAGATGAGGAATTCCTTTTGTGCCCACAAAGATCTTTCTTACTTTGCACAACTTGTACTTCACCTCCTCAGGTGTAATACGATGAACAGCAAATAGACCCTTAGTGTCATAGGCCAGACTGAAATTTTCTCTGGTTTTGTCAATGCTGATAGGTTATATCAGTTTGGGCCTTGCCATAAATCTTAATAAATTGCTGCATACAGATCTTTTTAACTTCATCTTTTATCCTGCCATACTTAAATTTGTTCTTAAGAAAATGATCAGTGGGAGGCATTCATTCATCTTGTGGGGGCCAGTGGATGGGCATGGAGCAAATATAGCAGTTTGTTTAATGCTTTGTGTAAGCCACATGCTTAAGATGCTTCTGGGGACCATAAGCCATGGCTCTACTGAGCAGGAAAGAGGACCATTTCCTTCCGGTGTCCCCAGAAAATAGGGTTGGAAGTTATGTGCCCTGCCATATATTCTTAAATCTTTCCTATGTTTTCATTTACAAACCATAAGTTACAAAACATTTATGCCATAAAATTATCCATTTTAACTATTTTAAGTGTGAAATTTACTCGCATTAATTACATTTGTAATGCTGTGCAACCATCTATGCTATTTCCAAAACTTTTTCATTAACTCAAACACAAACTCTGTACCTATTAAGCAATCATTTTGCCTTTTATCAAATTCCATATAGTTGGAATCATGCAATATGGAATCATTCTCATAATATGAAGCCTTTTCAAATTTGATGCTTTTACTTAGCAATAACATTTAAGATCCATTCTTCTCATATTGTGACTTGATAGGTTATTCATTTTTAGTTATGAATAATGTTTCATTAAGTAGATATATTACATGTTTATCCATTTATACTACTAAAGGACATCTTCTTTCCTTCCAGTTTGTCAGATTATAAATGAATTTTTTATAAAATTTGAATGCAGACTTTGTGTGAATGTTAAATTTTCAAATCAGTTGAATAAATACCTAAGAGTAAAATTGTTATATTATATAGTCAGACTATGTTTAATTTTGTAAGAAACTTCAGCTTTCTTCTAGAGTGGTAGTACCATTTTACATTCCCATTCACAATGAATGAAAGTTCTTATTGCTCCACATCAACAGCAACCCACTGAGACTGAGATTATGGTCCTGAGCCCTCAAGGTGCTTGGTTATAATTCCTAAGTTTGCTTCCTGTATGCTCCACCATATTCATGGATCTATTTGCTGCAAAGGCAAATATCATGTACAAATATCCTCTATAAAACCTATGTATACTTTTGAGTATACGCCTATTCTCCTTCCTACATCTACTCACCCTGAGTATGATTCCATGTATCTACCCACAGATCTGCTAGGTAAACTGGATGGTTAGAGAAAGAGAGGAAGAGTCTCAATGAGATGGATTGGCATAGTGGCAGCAGCAATGGGTTCAAGCCTGACAACGATTGTGAGGTTGGTGTAGGACAGGGCAGTGTTTTGTTCTGTTGTGCATAGGGTCGCTCTGAGTCAGCACTGACTCAATGGCATAACAACTACAACCCATAGATCACCATTTTTGCAGAATTGTATTCTCCAATATCTTAACCTTGCTTCCATCATTTTTTTTTAAATCAACATCCCTCTTATTGTATAATGCCTTAGCCTTCATTCAAGTTAAAATATGTCTACTCTCAGTTTGAACTGCAAGGTTGGTGGTTCAAGCTCACCAGCTGCTCCTTGGAAACCCTATACAGGGTGGCTATGAATCAGAACTGACTCGACTGCACTTACCACCACCACCACCAACAAAAGCGACACTGATAACCATAAAAGAATCTCTAAAATCTATAGGAAACTACAAGAACTCAACAAGAAAAAGACAAATAATCCAATTTTAAAATATGTTTATTTTAGTGATAAAAGTTATCTTGAGTTTTTTCAATACTGA